GAGATGTTAATTGGTTAAAATCTTTGGAACTTGCAAACTGAGGGCGAATTCAGAGGAAAAGACAAATTTTGAATGACAAACAAAGTAAAAAGGACATTTGAAAACTAGTTCAACTCTTTATAGCAGAAATGATTACAGTTAATAGTCTATATTAGTGGAAAATGAGAAGGAAAAAATTAACTATCCAATTTCACCTTTGGAGCACAAGCAAACTTAAATGTACTTGAATTCTCTAGAGAAGAGCATCATACCCTAACCTGCGAGCCTAAGCCTACATGCATGAAAAATCGGCAAACATCTAAATGATGGGAAATGTATTTAATGCACTTGTTCTCCACAACTTCTGGAAACTGCCTCATGGTTTTCTCGCTTCTCCTTGGGGACGACTGTGATGATATAAGACTGATCTCGACTTTAAAAGATTTACCGACTAATAAAACACTCGACAAGCCTTGGGGGAAACTGTTTTGGGCCGAACAAATGCCTAATAAGGACGTGACCCGGGTGTTAAGCCCAACAACACAAAGTCTTGGGACGGGAGGAACAAAATAAGGAGCTCAAGAAAAGGAGCAGTTACTTCCTAAGAACGTTGTATAGCTCGCAGAAGAGTCTCTAGTGGGGGCTGACATTGCTTGAGAAAATCAAAGTAGGTCATGAAAGACTAACACGAATTATATACAAAGAAGGACTTTGATAGATAGAATAAGGCACTAAAACATTAAAAAGAGAGCTACTTCATTATTAATGGTAACATTTGAACTGAAACTAATGCGACAATTGTTAATTACCAAAAACGACTCAACCATTAACTTAGTCCCACGCGACATTTCTTACACAAGGCCGAAGATATATAATTGATACACGTGAGACATAAGATATATTTTTTGTTCTCATACTTTCACACTTATTTTAGACTTTATAACTTACTTAAGCATTAGAATGCTAATAGTGCAGATCGTACTCCGTCTATCATATCAGAGATCTGTACCATAACATTAGAAGTTCATCATCACTTATAATCATCAATAAGAAACAAATATATACAAGAGTCTAGTAGCAATGTTATGCTCTTATTGTATGTGAAGAAATGAGTCATAATGTCCTTTAGAATAATGCATCACCTCATCCTAAAAAACTAAGGTTTCCAACTCAATTAGCCACTAAAATAATTTGTGTGAGTGTGCTGGGCATGTCCTCTTAAAAAGACAAACTTGGCAATTATTAAAGCCACCCTATTTCTTTTTGAGAAAAGTCCAAATATCAATACACGCGTGCACTTCTAAACCAGTGACTTCTATTTTACCAACATGACATGAGAAAGGGTATCTTGACAACTGTATTTGATTAATTATATGCAACTGTCCCTACTTCTCTTGTGAAGGAGTATATTTATCTGCCTATAATTCTGGAAAGAAGGGTAAAAACACCATGTTCAACATTTCATATGCTTTTTGTGTTTTGTTTTGTAATCATTGTTACAATAAGTGTTAGTACGAATTAATTTTGTTAGTGTTGGAAAGGATAAAGGAGGGTAATGAAGATACACGTTATATTGAGCACTTTAAAAAATTAATATTATTTTTCCGTCTTTCTATTCGAAGATTTAGTTCTTCCTGTTGTGTGTAGAATATTTTTGATTCATATAATTGATATATTCATTATTATATAAATAAAAAACTCTACTTTACCATAAACTAAAATTGAAAAATATTTTATAAAATCATATCTAACAACTATTTAACCATCATAAATTTTATACCATATAAGATAACTCATTTTCCACGCCCTAAAAACAGAACTATGCTCCAAACATTAAATCAAACCTCCACTTGGTCTACCTAAAAATCACCTCCAAGATAGAGGCTTTATGTGGTCCACACCACCTGTAAACAATCTTTAGTTTTCTCAATCTATTAACCTTCACTTAATTGGATGCTACACCAGTTAAGTTGATCGAGAACACTCATATCCATAAGTTTCTTTCTCCATTTATAAATATATACATGTCATATAGAGTAGTTGCTCACTGACACCAATAAACGAGCTTCAATTTTTACCAATCGAGGTCAAATTTATTAAATTTAACAACATAACTTACATGAGTAAAATAAATATATGTGATGACTCTTTTGTTTACAAGAAACAGAATTCGTATTTACATTCAAATTTAAATATATATATTTCTTAGTACAGTTCTTGTTATTAATTATATGTAGAAATTTTATACGCAATATTTAATTCCCATATCTCTATATATTTATAAAGATTCATATTGAATTTCGATATCTCAATAATGTTGGTGACTTCATTCTCACAGGAGGAAATTTGGGAAGCCGTTTCTGGAGAGGACAGCTCCACAAGTCTTGATCCAGATGAATTTAATCTCGATTTTCTAAAACGTAGTTGGAGTATTGTTGGTTGCGATGTTTCTCGGGTAATAAACCACTTTCATAAACATGCCTACTTACCAAAAGCATTGACATCTCCGTTTATTGCTCTAATCCCGAAAGTATGATTGTGTAGATTAATCGTTTCTTGAAGAGATTTTGAGATCCATGAATTTCTGTCCTAAATGGATTAGCTGGATTCGTGGAAGCACACTTGACTGCTCTCTGTCTGTGATCGTAAACGGTGGAACGTCATTGGATTTTAAGGCTTTCCGTGGACTAAGACAAGGGGATCCTCTATTCCCTTTCTTGTTTTCTATTGTAGCTGAGGCAATTGCGGTTATGTTAAGTCATGGTTCTTCTAAGGCTTTGTTGGAAGATTTTAAAATTGACAAAGACAATTACGTGAATCTAGTTCAGTTCGTCGATGATACAATACTCTTGTGCAAAGGTCCGTGGGAAGATTTATAGGCCATAAAGGCATTGTTGAGAGGTGTTAAACTTCTGTCAAGATTACGTATCAACTTTTAGAAAAGTAGTGTGTACTGCATAGGTCTCGACTCTTCCTACTGACGGGCTGCAACTCAATTCTTAACATGTATAGTGGGAACATTTCCATCAGATTCCTTGGTATGGAAGTAGGAGGCAATCACCGTAGCTTTGCTTTTTGATATTACGTGGTTAACAACTTCAGATCCAAATTATCGGCATGGTGCAGTAAATCTCTCTCGATAGGTGGAAGAGTAATTTTGATTAACTATGTTATTTCTAACCTGCCAGTGCATTATTTGTCCTTCTTCAAAGTTCCTTCTAAGATCTTGAATCAGTTAAAGGCTATCCAACAAAACTTTCTATGGTCGGGATTGTTCGAGAAACAGAGAATTGCTTGGATTAGCTGGAAAACTGTGTGTCTCCCTAAGAATTGTGGAGGTTTAGGAATCAGAGACCTCTCATCTTTCAATATCGCCATTCTAACTAAATGACTTTGGCGTTGTATCACAAAACCAGCTCCTATTTGGTGATCATTGTTGGTTTCTTGTTACGGCTGCTTCTTTTCACGGCTACCGATGAAAAACATTCAAAGCCTGCCATATGCGAATCTTACTGGTGGAAAGATTTGATGAAGATATGTGACTCAACCTCTCCTGGATTTTTTTTGCACCAACTTTTTTGTTTGCTCGGCGACGGCTCACATATTGCATTTTTGGTTAAACTGTTGGCTTGGTCAGGTACCCATGTGCTCTCTATTCCCTAATCTCTACTTGCACTCTTCATGTAGACAAGCTGCAGTTTCAGAACTAGGTTATTGGCTGAACAATTCTTGGCATTGGAGCTTTGAAATGTTGAGGCACTACCTGTCTGTAGAGGATATGCCTGAGTTCCAGGCCTTGCAAATTTTATTGTTGGACATTTCGCCGCAACGAGAAGTCAAGGATCGTTTTGTTCGGAAAGGTGGTTGCTCTAGTTTATTTATAGTAAAATCCCGTTACAATTATTTGGTTGATATTGTTGATGTCTATGAGCTCGAGATTGCTCCCAAGGTTGTTTTAGAAATTTCATGGCAAACCAAAATTCCTCTTAAAGTTAGAATCTTCGCCTGGAAGTTGGTTTGGGACAGGCTTCCAACTAGAGCAAATTTGGTGGCCAGAAGAATAATCTCCAATCCTTACGATATAGTTTGTGTCTTTTGTTTTAATGCTACAGAAGATATCAATCACATTTTTTTGTAGGTGCCCTTATATTATTTTAGTGTGGTGTAAGATTGCGGAATGGGTGAACATTCCTTGCAACCACTTCTTAGATTGGTTCTTAAAGGTTGTTAAAAATTCGTCCAAATCTTCTGCTTCATTTATTTGGATGGTGACTTGTTAGGCTATTTGGTGGATCCGAAACCAAATCATCTTCAATGATTTGGTTGATAAACTCAAAGATATTTAGATGTGAGTAATTCATACTTCTTGAAATTAGTTGGGTTGCTGTAATTCATCATATATTAAATGTAGTTTCTACAATTGGTTTAAATCCCCCATTGATTATATGATCTACGGCATATTATTTTGTTCAATATGAAGTTTGAGGGATTGTAACCTGTAAAGATTGTTTTCTTATGAAACTGTAAGACTCATGTATTCTGATTGGTGTATTTCTAGTATACCGTTAATACAAACTTGTTACTTATAAAAAAAAAATTATCTCCTTTTATAAACTCCCTATTATGTCCTCATTTTGGATTCATGAATATGAAAAATAAACTTTTCCAAGTTGAAGTCGGCAATTATCATTTTCATCATAACATTTTCCACACGTACAATAAGTACAATTGATAGCAAGAAAGTTATAATGTCTCATTTTACAAATAAGGCATAAAACATCTCTCTTTCACTATCGCATGCGCATGCAAACGTGTGAAAGATCAAGAATAGAATTATACATTAAAACAAGAAAAAAAGAGAATCTATTTGGACTTTCTCGTCCCTAAAAATTAAAAATTATGGAACAATAACATGTACTATTTCCTATTTTGAAACAAGGGATGTTATTTGAACTACCCCTTGACCAAATTCTTTGGTCGGTGTCAAATCTCTAAACTCATTTATAGATTCTTCTACCTCTCTACAACTTGTGGCTATGAGAGTTTGTTCTTTTCCATTCAACCAAATGCTGCAAAAATTCTCCAACCTATAATAATATATACAAAAAAAAATGAATATTACATTTTTTATTTTAGGTAATTTTAATCAATAAAAAAAATTAATGCTTGAATTTTTCTTACCTCAGATGGATCTTGCAAAGTGTACGAAGCATTGGTTTCTTTTGGAATTTTGGATACAAGAATCCCACTCCCTTGGCCTCTATTGCTTAAAACCTTTATTATATAATTATATCCAAAATTATAAGTTGGCATAACATAATAAATAATATTTATTATTATCCTTATTTAGAAAAATAGAAAGGTGATTGCATTTTTACCTTAAAAGCATCTTCGTCAGTTCGATCATCACCAATATAGATTGGATATACGTTGTTAGAATTTGCAAATCCTAAAATTTAAGAAAAAAATAAGTTAGGACATATATAAATCTTATGCAATATATGCACCAACTAATTATTTTTTTAGTTATTATAAAGGAAGGTTATTTTTGCATAAAAAACTTACCAAGTGACTCTAACAAAAATTCAAGAGCTCTTCCTTTGTCCCATTTTATGGTTGGTCTAATTTCCAACACTTTTCTTCCTTGAGTTAACTTTAAATTTGGGTAATTATTGAGGACTAAGCTTACTTGTTCGGCCAATGCTGCCCAAATCTATAAATAATAAAGAAAAATGGTTAATTAAAAACTCAATTACATAAAGTAAATAAAAATATGCATATTCAACAATATAATTAATGTGCTTCATATATATTTTGATTTGAATATTCATCAGTATCATTAACATGTATCATGACAATTAATACCTTTTCATCAACGCAACGAAAATGAACGGACAAACAAAATTTGTTATTTTCAACCATAGCTCCGGGAACATCCTTTGTTTTTTCCACTAAGATTTTATAAACCTGCATTCAAATAAAATTAGTTAAAATCTCATTATCTAATGGGAAGGAAGATTCAATTTAGTGGTAATAATAAGAATAATAATTAATGAAAAGTAGCAAACCTCATTGATTATGGGCAAGAATTCACTTGCAGGTTGCAAAAGTACCCCATCGTTACTACCCTGAAATTATACATACACAAAATTAGTAAACAAAACAAAACAATAATCTTCATTGTAATAATGTGTTTAAGGAAATTATTTTACTTTTTTAGTAGGTCCTTTTATATCCATTCCATGACTTCCAGCATAATATAATTCTGTCAATCTTACAAAGCTAAATAACTACAAAAACAAAAAATATAAACAAAATCTAATTAGTTAAAATATAGTATAATACAACATAAAAATTAACTTGTAAAAAAAAACATAAAAATAATAAATTATTTTGTTGAAAAAATGTACCTTATCTAAGCACCTTCCACTAACTATAGCGGTGGGAAAATGTCTTGCTATATCCTTCAATGTCATTCTCATCTAATTTTCAATAAATAAAATATATTAGAAAAAAATTAGTTATACTCTTTTAATTTTATGAAAAGATGAAAATCAAAATCAAACTATAGATAGAACAAAAATATAAACCTTTTTAGTCATGTAAGCTTTATTTGGATCTGCAACAATTGGGGAGAGAGTTCCATCATAGTCAAGAAAAACAACTATTTGTTTTCCATTTGCTTTCAACATTATTTGATCAAACATGTTTAAGGCAGAAGGATGAAAAAGCTGCAACAAATTAAAAATAGAGTCAAATCACTGTAACTAACCATAACAATATCCGAAGAAGTTTCTCAAAATTTTGAATTCTCTAACTTCTCATAACTTTAGTCAATTTTCAAGAGAAAAAATCAAGAAATATGACACAAACTGCATTTTTGGAGATATACATAAAAAGGAATTATTTTGCGACTATTACCTTCCAGTGAATTTGGTCGCGATTCTCGGAAGTGTTTCTTGTTCGGGTAGGAGAAGAAGCTCTCATGGAATCAATCCATTTGTTAGTCTTTGTTGTTCTTTTGCCATTTTCATCTTCTAGAGGCGGTATGACATTGTTTTTCTGCTGAGCTAAAAACTCATCAAACAAAGCCATTAATTCTGGTACAGCAGTTGCCGGTAAAACATTAGAGTTAGAAAACGACATTGCTATCTCGATAAGCCTCTCGTTCACGCGTTGCTTCCCCAACACATTTTGGTTTGTCATTTCGGTAAAAAAATAAGGAAAAGGCTTGTAGTAGAAAAATAAGTTATAGAGAGAAGAAAAGAGAGATGGTTTTGTGGCTTGTTTCTGTGTGTTGAATGAGGGATTTTATAGGGGAGAAATTGTTTGATGAAAAGGAAAAGGCAAAAAAAGAAAAGAAGAAAAAGGAATCAGAGTTGCTTTTTTACTAGTTGGTTGGTTTTAGTGATGAATTAGTTTTGGGTATCTCTAGTCAATTTATAACTTCCGTTACACGGCATAAACCGACGAAAATACACACTTCTTTTATTTTATTTTGTTTTTCTTTGTACTTTTCATAAAACTAAAATTGAAGGAGGGGCCACGTTATTATTTCACAGAACTTTCTTTTTTTCATTTTCATTTTTTATTCATGATTGGAAGGAATTTTACCGACTTGCGGTTGGTGTTCATTTTAAACTGTCTCACAAAATATTCGAAAATAAAAAAATGGATTGAGTAAGACGAACATAATTTAAAATACAGATTTAAAATTTTAATGTGTCCCGCATTAAAAGTAAGGATGATGTTGAACAAACCTGCAAATATATTAAAAAGTGTGAGCTTAAACTCTTAATTTATCCTGCATTAAGTGTAGATAAAATAGGAAATAATCAACGGATCGGATATAATTTGTCACCCTAATTTGGATGTTGTAATTGATTTGAATCGTATTGTCTATTTAAAATTTTTATTGAAAATTCAAGATATTCAGTCTTAACAAATATTTATATAAAAAAATTGACAAAGCACCTTTAATTAAATATTTCATCTAGAAACATGAACTCAAGGCTTTAAGTGAAAGATTGATTATGAATATTTTAATATTAAATAATGACAGATTGAGAATTTGGTATTCTGAGTTTGTTCAATTATTCTTTGAGTATTAGCTTTAACCACTGACCTAGACTAATGACATTAGAAGAAGAAAATTAAAGCTATATGAATAGAATTAATTCAGATTCCTCTAAATATTAGACCAAATCAGCATTTACCATTTTATAAGTTATTTACATGTGATATTTCTGTTTAAAATAATTATTCAATTGTTAGAAGAATCAACACCATATATACATTTCTTTACTACACTATAAATTAATAAAATTCTTGATAAAGAGTATCATTTTTCAATCCAATTATCTTAGCCAGATTCTACCTACCTATCTAAAAAAGTTAGATGGGGAATTAGAATATGAAGTTTTGAATTAATTAAGCAAATAAAAAAATGGATTAATTTTCCTTGTGGTTTTAGTTAATCAAAAGAACAATGTTAAGAGAAAGGGAATTTCTATGATATTGCCAGCAAGACTAAACAACAGAAAAATCTTGTTAAACTAGCTTCTGGAATGGGGAAAGACCACGTATGTTAACAAACTATAATTATTAATATTTTCATGGGTGCAACAATTGCCAACCACATGTGTATTTTAATTTTCCTATGAACATGTATATGTTGGTGTCTTTTATTTAATATAGTTCACATATTTGTTAATAATATTGTATGGAAGTAGCTTATGCTTAATTTACTACCTTTCACATTATGAAAAATTGTTGTGGAATGCACTCCAAAGTATAATTAGGTACCCAGCTTTGAGTTTTACAACAAAAATTTGTTTCGATTGAATTAGAGTTTTTCTCTATCGCAAAAATATGAGAACGAGTTTATTAATGGAAATTCTAATGTCCATTTCAAAGTCGTGTTATTTATATCCATAAACTTTATTTAATTTTGATAATGTAATTTAGTATTTAGAGAAATGGATGTTTTCTATTAAAAAATTGATTCATTGTATGGATAAGACCGAGGCGATATATTCGAACTAAACTCAAATTTATTTGAGACGTATTTGAGATGAGAGCGAGATAGGATAGCTGAGTCCAACCCAAATTCGTTTGAGGTTCAATTCTTCTTCCATAATGGGATGATGGGTAACGAGAGAAATATTTGTTGGGAAAGTTTTTTACTATGAATCGTTGAACATTGTGAGACTTTTTTTATTAGAGCAACACCTTTGTGAGACACACACCATATTTTCAAGAAAAACTTTAAGGTGATAGGTGGGTGGACTCTATCAATTATAAATGTTTAAGTCTCAACATTTCCAACCAATGTGGAACTATTACCCACACTACTCACACTTGGTACATTCTCAACACTCCCCTCAAGTGTGAGCCCACATTACTCCCCCTCAAGTGAAAGTTCTTCTTATTTCCATAAACTCTTCTACCGCACATAACTTTCTTACTCACCACCCTTGTGGCCCTGTTGACTTTCGATACAACTAAGTTGGTCCCTTTTTCAATCCAAAACCTCTGATATCATGTGTTGGAGAGTTTTTTCACGAAGGATCATTGAACATTGTGGGATTTCTTTTCTTACATCAACACCTTTGTGAGAGATACATCATATATTCACCCAAAACCTTAAGGTGATAGGTGGATGTGTTCTCTCACTTATAAATATTTAAGTCTCCACATTTCCAACCAATGTGGGATTATTACCCACACTACTCACACTCGATACATTCTCAACAACATTCAAATTGACTCAAGAGCAACAACATTCAAATTGACTCAAGTGTAACAACACAAGTGAGAAAAACATCACATATTCATTCGAAATACTAATACATTAGATATGTGGGTTCGATCACTTATAATGTGTTCAACATCGAATTTTTCAAGCAATATGAGATTTTCAACTCACGCTTATATTACAACATAGTGATCGGAATGGAAAATAAAAATTTATCAAAAATATGTATGGGGAAGGTAGAAAATAGTCATCACCCGCAAGTATAATTAGGGGTTACAAAACAGGCATGTTTCCGAACATGTTCGTTTTGTACACACGTTTTTATAGGATAGATCAAAGTTTTAGCTCAACACCCTATAATATGTCTATCTCATTCCGTCCATTTTTTGTGGGCTTTTACTCAAACAAACATTAATATAAAATTTTGAAAATTTTAAGTTAAAAAAGTGTAGGGACAACAAGCCCGCCCCACCCAACCTTCGGTTTTTCGCAAGACAAGCCAATATTTTAAACCCGCACCTTCAACAATGCTCGTTCTGCCTTATTTTATTTATAAATTTTTTTACAGAATAAACCTAAATGGTACAAACATACTTGTTTGTCACATAATTCATTAAAAAAAAATTGTAGGGATATTTAATTTACTTTTCTTAAAGAGAGTAAAGGTTATTTCTTTTTTTCTCTTTCTCTCTTTAATTTTTCTAGTTTTTATTAATTTTACTCTATTTTTTGTTTAAAAAAAACATATATAATTAAGAGAGAATGAAAATCTAAACATAAGAATCATGGTGAAGAGGGAACCAATGTATAGGCCAAGAGAATCACAATGGCGGAGAGACTTAACGAGTATTGGTAACTCAATTGAGGAGGGGAGCTTTTTGAGCCAAGTCTCTTGCAAGATTGGGATTGGTCGTTTTGTATCCTTTTGGCATGCATGTTGGATGGGCCATGAATCGCTAAGGGTTGTTTTTACGACTTGTACATTGCCTCTATTATGAAAGTGGGCTCTGTCATGGACATGGGTGATTGGGTGGGGGAAATATGGACGTGGAATTTGCACTTGGGGAATCTTGAATTAATTGGTAATCTGCTTGAGAAGTACACTGATTTGCTGAAGTTGCTCATGGAAGTTAGACTGCGTCATGGAGTTGAAGACTACTTCAATTGGAAAGGTTGTAATTCAAGGAGTTTTAATGTTAACTCTAGCTACGTTGCGCTGCAAAACACGGGTGTGGTATTATATTTGGAGATTAATCTCAAGACAGTTTTAGATTTGATTTGGAAGACGAAGGTTCCTTTAAAAGAAAGAATTTTTAGTTGGAGATTGGCATTGGATAGACTACCTATGCAATCGAATCTTGTTGCCAGGGAAATAATCTCAAATGTCCATGATATTGTTTGTGTGTTATGTTTTAATGCAGTGGAAGATAATAATCATATGTTTTTTTCATGTCCTCGTACTCGATTGATTGGGAGGAAAATTTAAAAATGGGTGGGAATCGAGTGGATAGAAAGCGATAATGTAGGTGATCACTTGTTAAGTTAGTTTTTGAAGATGATGAGGTTCAACACAAAATTTACGGCGTGTAACATTTGAATCACTACGTGCTAGACTATTTGATGGGCGCGTAATCAAATTATTTTTAATGACGCGATTGGAAATGTATCTGATATCGCGCTTAATTCAATACATACGTCATGCTGATGGTTAGATTACTGGTCTACGATCAAAATTAAATGTAGTTACTATGATTAGTACAAACCTCATTCTACTTTTTTTGTAGTTGGAGATTTTGGTAGAAATTTTTTTGACGGATTAACTACCTTTGTTAGTATCTCTTGTATATGAGTTGGAAAATCCTAATTTCTTTTTGAATATATTATTCCTTCTTAGAAAGAAAATGAGAATGGAAGTTAGAGAGAAACAGAGAATAAGATGGATGAAAGATTCAATTTATTTTACAATACTAAGTGTATTTGAATTTCGCTATCAAAATATTTTTAAAATAACGTAATGTGATTGTGAGTGCTACCTCATTTTCAATTTAAAATATTTTAATATACCCCTCCTTACAATTTCTTGAAAGAGAACTATGAACCTGGCTTTAATGTGAACATAATTAACATCCATAACTAATTGATTGATGGAATACCAATGTTAGAAGCTGAGATTTTATTAGCTTAAATTGTTTAATATTTTACTTTTTTTTAGCATAGAGTTTGTCATACAAAATACCGAAAAGACATCAAAAGTTATAAATAACTTTTTTATTATTTTAAGGAACATGCCACAATAATCATGCTTACCATTCACTTGTGCCAATTATTTATTCTCACTTTTCTTTTCCTTTCTATCACAAACCTTTTCAAACCCTTGCGAAGATTTAAAAACTTCCAAAATTATTCATAATTACAAAATTATTATTTCGTGCATTTTAAATATTGTCAT